GATTGCACACAATGTAGGATGTACTTAAAGTTTGCTTTGGAGCGTGTATTTTGATACATTGTTCATTGTTTTTTCGATTCACCGCATCCGAGCGCCTGCCAAATATATGTATCTATGTAGTCAGAAATTATGTTGTAGCTGGGATATTTATGTGTAGGCGTATCTGCGCTTTACAGTTCGAAATAAATGTTCCATAATTGGCAGCCTTTCTTCTGCTCAAACTACAAGTGCAGTAGATTTATCTATATTCCGAACTAATGTCTCCATCACCATGAGCATGAAGGAGAAATCCAGGCATAGTGGTTGTGAGATTATACAAGTTTACTTTATTTTATTTTCAGAAATACCATAATACTCTGCGATGAAAGCTTTATATTAAACAATCAAATATACCCTAAAGTCCTATACTAGGTTAGATAAATCAGAAATATTTCAATATAATTGATCTCTTATATTTAATAAATAATTAGAGAATAAAAAAATCTAGAATTTTTTACCAATTTTTATATTAGGAAGAAATAATTTAAGGAAAATTTTATCTTATCAAATTTTTGACATAGCTTTTTCTTCCGAGCTTCCAAAATTGATATTTATGTTGTACAATTTTCAGCACCTTTTAAAGCTTATACGATATCAATTTATCTTTGTTGAACAATAAGGATACAAATTTGTAAACATTTGCATCTAAAAGTAGTGGATAATCACATAAGTTAAAGTTCTACTTTAGTTGTTAAAATCTTCTCCCAGTTCCTTCTTATTCGAAAAGGAGTTGGGAAATATTAAATTAATAGAAATATTATTATCTATTAATTTTATTCACAGTTTTTATCGTCTTTCAACTGCTGTAGAATACATGTAATATATTTTTATAAACACTCAAATAAAACAAACTCATACGAATAGGTGCACACAAAATAATCAATAGCAAAGAAATGGTTCAACAAAGAGACGACGATACTCTTACCTCTGTGTATAATTTAACCGAATTCACTATTTAGATTAAAGCTTCTATGTGCACTGTTTATCTGAATTCTCTAGAAAATTCTAGATTATTACCTACTCCCAACGTAGACTGATTCCTGAGCTACAACTCTACCATGATGTCTATCAGTCGGACTCCCATTTCCATGATCGGCGGTGATATGCAACTACAACATGATGTCTTCCATTAGATTTATCATGTAATAATCCTAGATCCAGTGACATCTAGCTTGCCATCATCAGACTATATACCAGCTTCACATTAATAGCAGCTATATAAGATGTAGGCTCATGTTTGCAACCACTTTATATATGGAAACTTATGTTCAAATGTCCATCACCGCAGGGAATAAGTACTCGAAGCAAAATATAGCTTGGAGTATGGTTCACTATAAACCTTGGTCATGGTAACGTTTCTCTTGATCGAAACTCTGAATGCATATTCTTCTTCACTGCTTGCTAAGTGGAGCAACTGAATACTATACCCTGAATAAGAGTATATTATTGTTATTATTATTTTCAATAAGAGGGCGTTGCCTTTCACACTTCTTAAAGCCCAGAATATTGAAGAGACCACGGAAGAAAATCTAAAAGTGTAGACAGAAGCTACATTCCAATTCATGTTAGAACAAGGACCGCCAATTTGAAGTATATGAAATGTGACTGATCACGGTTTGGTACATAAGTTAGTTCCATGTACTTATACTGTACATGGAACTAACTTATGACCGTATAACTTAGTTCCATGTACAATATAAGTACAATACGTGCGCTGGTTACAATAATGCGAGATATTGTATTCGCCTAGACCAGATCAAATGGGAGAATGTTCGTTCATTGGAGTGTACTTGTGAGGCTGTACATGAGTGAGAATGTTGGCACTACTCCTGTAACGCATGAGCGCTTGAAACGAGTCGAGCCTCTCAGCCGTGAATGTTTTTCTGCCACCATAGATGGCCACCACACCACACAGCTGCCTGATGCCTAGTGGTCATGCATGGCAAATTGGAAAGATTAATTACTGAAAACATGCATGGCGATTGAGAACTGCACAATGCAGATTTGCCAATCAACTCACTATCTAGCACATGTTTAGTCCATGTCTGCCTGAGTCCAATGATCTCTTCACAATTGACAGTTATATGACTGGAGGTATCCATGGAGTCCTTAAAATGTTACTCGCGCCTAGCACGACCAGGACCACACTTTGCACTTGCTGTCGGTAGTCTACCAGCTCATGGATGTTAAGAGTCAAGGATTTTACGCTTTTACACTCATCTGATCGAATAAAGGTAATCTGGAAAAAAGCTGATGAACTTATAGTTAAGCTCCACTGCTCAAACTTTCTGCTTCTTTGTGTTCAAGTTGTCCACCGTTGCATGACGCGTGTCACGTCTTTCTCAACATGTCATTTTATCACTCCATTGATGATGACTGTGAGATGCCTACGCCGATTGCAGATCCACATGCATATTAGATAAGTCCTCACCCACTGTTTTCAAGTTGTCGTAATTTAAAGAGTACTTTACTCGTGATAACATTCGTTAGAAGTGTCCATACATACACTCGTCCTTCTGCAAGAATCACATTCTAGCACTATGTACATGACAATCTTTGCTAAAAAGCATGTTGCAGATACACCCAAAAAGAATAATACGGCGAAAATTAGAATATACAAATTTTACCAACAGTTTGTGCATTTCCAATCACAAATAGAGATGTTCTCACAATAAGAGCTATAATTAGGCTCTCCCACTGTACTAAATTCTGTCACAGATTTTGGATGCCAGATTCCCAGAAGTTGCGAGGTTGGAATATAGTAAGACGCTCTGATCATAAACTGATCATTCGTTCACGGCGGCTGAAAGTGATTCCCACTGCAGTTTGTTCCAGTTCTTTACTTTGAAACTGTTTGAAGAAGATTGGAACCGATGTGTTAGACTTCAGGCTTGCTTGCTAACAGTAGAAAAATGGTTTTGAAGAAAGGAATATTTGGAGAGGTCTTCAAACAATATTCGAACCAAGGCCCTACAAATCCATTCCAGTCCAAATCCATTCCATATTTGACGTCGGTCGACCACGTCTGGAGAAAGCTTTGCCTGGAGGGCGCCGATGCTCCAGCTGGCCTGAGTGAGGGCGGCGATCGCGTGGACGATCATCCGAATGAAGATTGCCTGACGCGTGTCATGTCTTTCTAGACGTAGCATTTTAGGACTCCATATGTAATGAGTGTGAGCTTCGTACCCGGATTTCAGATCTGGATGTAAAATCGGATGAAACATATATAAATATATACACGATTTGGTATTTATTCACTTCACCTATCATAGTGGACAATTACGTACTGATAAGAGTCGGCTACATGTGATTCAATTAAGCCTCTGCTTGCCCTCCAAGATCCGGGTGTGTTTAATAAACTCATATTGAAAGCAAATTTTATCTGAATCTTTTATCCTCCAGATATTTGTTTTTCCTCTTCTGTTCATATTATAATATGATGATGGTTTTTCCTCTGTCGCATTTCATCTGCCAGTCGCAGAGTGATTAAACCAGGACTCTCTAGACTGATCAGATTTTTGACAACTTAGAAGTATTGACTGGAAAGTTAATTTGTAACAAATACAATTCAATATGTAATTCTCACTGAGCGGTACAATTGAATGTTATCTTTTAACTTTTGAAAGTTTAGAGACTATATTCTTACCCCGGACATCGGCTCATAACGAAGGTGAATTGGACTGAGAAAGAAAGAATTTTGAATTTTTGTGTGTTTGAATTTGTACGAATAAAGCAAGTAGAATTAAAATCGCAATATGTGCAGTTACTTCCAACTTTGATGTAATTTGCTAGTCACAAATATACAATATTCACTGAGTCCAAGCTGAAATACTACTCTCCCAAGAACAGGTGTAATCTGGAGGGGTTAATCACAATGCACATAATACCAAGTCTCAATGTTCCTACTTTAATGAGATATTTTTAGTCCTGATTGCGGATAATGAAGCTTTTCAATACGAAGGCGAGTTGTACAGTAGGATAAACATTCTAGAGATATCATTACTAGTAGATTCCCAAGTTTGATCCGAAGACTAGTTTTTGCCAGCTGTAATCCGATCTTCACACGTTGGACATCAGATAGCTGTCACTCACATACAGTTAAGTAAATGTGGTCTGTTTCCTGAACAATTGAGTTTAGCAGTTGGTCAGCCCATACTTGTGTACTTGGGTCTGTCTGTACAGATCTTGACTTCTTTGCTCCAGCCCTGTAAAAAAGTCGTTAGTTCTAGTTCTGGTTCATTTTACTTTCAAAAAATCCTGAATGCTCTTTGGGTCCACGTCCGATAGGTAGAAGAGAGATGAGTGAGTGCGTTTGAAGGTTGTGACTGCACCGTGTAAACTGAAGTTCCAGTGAACAAGAAGAAACTCATGACAAACGACATGAATTTCTGGGGCTCCTGCCCCATTCCACGAGGACCAGGTGGACAGCTTGGAAAGCAGTTTCCTTCTTCGATGCTGGCTCGACAGATATCTTCAAATACATACTATATAGCTATGTAAGATAAGCCTTACTTGAACCGCAACGTATAAGGAAAAACCTTTTGTGACAACAAGCTTGCTGATCTCGACGAAATACTTTCACTCTGTGACTTATCAAACTGGATCCGAGTGCTTTCCGTTTTTTGATATCTTTGGTTTTCCTACACACAGCAGGATTCAACTGCTCAGATTTTCAGAATGACTTCGCTCTCGTGCCCAGGTTTGAAGGCATAAAAGGCTCCTTATTTTGATCCAGGAAAGTCCAGACTTAAAGTGTGAGGCTTCTCTTTGGGAGTGTAAACCATTGAGGGACTATTTTATCTTCCTGAACTTTTGGCTTCGTCCGTGAATCGTTGATCTTAATCTGCAGATTCTGTGAAAGTTCGGTTTCCACTGAATTAGTGCACAACTGAATCTGCCTTAAGTATCTAATCCTCGTATATGACTGTACTAATGATTCTTGTGTCCGAACATAGCCTAACAGTAACTCTGAAACGAATCCAGTCAGATTCATTCATGTACCTCAAGGGTGAGTATATTTTCATATCTGCTCGATTCATCCTCATTCATGTGTGTTTACAAATAATACGGAGTTCTACAGAAGCTCTCCATCCATCCAATCGAGCAGATGAATCATGCACATCACATCAAAACAGACTCCATCTGACAAGGTATCATAGTTGCGCAATCTCGGTCAAAATGCTGTGGGCATTATTGGATAGAGACAGCCATCGTGGACCGTAAATCATGACTGGAGAACGAGAACCCAGGCGTGCCAAGCCATGCCATGCTAATGGCATGGCATGGCATTTTGGCCTCGCAAACCTGAGCGGGTGCTCAGATGAAGTGCACGATCATCACCAAACTTGGGGACGCCAATCGAATCAGTACGAAGATAGATAGCGGAGATTGAGTCGATGACGGGAAACGCTCTGCGTGCTCACGATCACATTCTCCTCTCTCTCCGCGTGTGGGCAAGCGTGCGTGCGTGCCGCTGCGGAACGTGCCCCCGCAGCCACGATCTGGGAGACAACCGATGATCGATGGATGGAATAATGATCATCGATCATCTGTGAGTGGGCGCTAATATTCCTCCTTCCCTTCATTTTCCCCTCTGCCCACAAGTTGGAGTTTAGTCAGAGCTCAGGTCACGTCAGGTTTGGTTCACAGGCAAATCGGTTGTGGTTTGGTGGGCACAGTGCGTCAATGGCTTGACTGCTACTTCCAGAAGACTTCGGCTTTCAAGCTTTTCGAGGGTTATCGAGCAAGCCTGAGATTAGTCCTTGTCCTCCTGTCTGATCTGGACACTATGAGGCCGACGAGCTCGGAGTGTTCTTCTGTCAATGGGTGGGGGTTGTTCTCGTCTGGGACATCGAATTCGACTGTCACCATTCTCTTCAGGGTGACCATTGCCAATGTCTACACCGGCCATAGATCTGCTTTCGATCCACAAGTAGTATCTTCTGGGAAGAAGATGACTTTTTTAAGAGCCACGGACGCTCGGCCATCTGCTGGGGAAGTAGGAGGGGAAGGAGGTCGAGTGTATGAGATGGTGCAGGCGCAAGAGTTACTCTATCATGCTTTTGGGTTTAAGTGCATACGTGGAATGTAAGCTCTACGACCTCTCTGCAGACTCGTTTGCCGAACAGATTCAACCTTCCGCTTATTCGCGCGCCGAGGTAATTTACTTCTCTGCCTGTTCCATTTGGCCTCCATGTAAACAACAATCAGTCAGGTCTATCAGTCAGTCCATCGAGTATCAAAGGCTTTCTGCTCACCGTGCTACATAGTCTCAGACGGATTATATGAATGCGGGTTGTCATACCGCTTGTTTATGAGGATCGGTGGTTCTTTGAATCCAGATCCGCAGCATTGTGTTGCAGCAGCAAGTGCGAGGCTAGCTACTTGTACATGCTAAGCATCTCTTTACAACGTTTCGCCAGCCTGTAAGAGGTAGAGCAAAACTTGTGCATGGTTCTTCCTTCCCCTTAAAGGCATCATGCAAGCAAGCCGGTACAGAAGTCATCGTGTGAGATAAACGATTGAGTGCACCTGGATGAATTCTTGGAAGGCGATTCATGTTTTGATCTAGAATAAGAAGAGTCCACCTAAGAATGTATGACAACCCGTCGAGCAGACCCAATGCATTCGGTTGTGTTTCAGGCACCAGACCGCAACCAGTTACAATTCTGATTCACCTGCGGCTCTGCACGAGGATTGGCAAAAATGACCATTCCTTTTTCTGAACATAAGAGCTCATCCTTATCTTTTATACGAGCTTTCGTTCTTAGGTACTCTGCTACCATGTGCTATTGTCTTATATCGACCTTGCAAGCAGAGACGTCATTTTTCTTCTTCATCCTGACCCATCAGATCACATGGAGTCAGTGGTCTAAACTCACTACAGAGTATCTATTCTGCTGAACATATCTCCACGTGACCTCTATTTTCGTTCTCAGTTTATCTTCTATGTAATTCCTATGCATCCTTATGATGACACCTTGAATGTTCTTCAGAAGGCCCTTTACAGGTCATGTTGAAAATTGCTTGAGGCCTACTTTGTTACAGAAGACTCTGAGGATTGTAGATTAGAGCGCACGTGATCAGCGCCGGGTTTTGACTACCATGAAAGGAGATCTGCAAAATCTAAGCTCCTTTGGTTTTTTTTTTTTCACGTCAGGTTCAGAGAACTGCTTGAACTCCTGCTTGTTCGAATTGGAGAAAAGGTCCATTTGCATTTTCACACCTAGCGGAGTGCCATTAGTTTACCTTTAGTTTGGACTGGAATAATGGGTTTTCTATGTGATGGAGGAGTCACGGATCATATAGACTGATTGACTTACTGATGACTGGTTGGCAGACTGTGACCTGAACGGGGCCAGCACTAGTTCTCTTGTATGCGAGTCTACGTTTTGCTCTGGCCGTCAGTGGATCTAATGAAGTTCAGAGAGCCACAGGAAAGTGCGACCTGAAAGGAACATCAGATTTGACAGTAAGAAGAAGATGATGATCCCATACCGTGAATTGCCAACAACAATTTCAGGAGCTCACAGTTGCTCTACCGCCGGATCCTCTTCATCTCCATAGTGGTTTCAGCTTGTGACAGTTCATCCATTCATTACCAGCATGAAGCGATGTTTTGTTCTATTTTTAATCACCCAAGTCCTCGTGGGCGTTCTCATCGCCATTGCCACGCACACTTCATCCTGGTCGCTGGACATATCTGATCATGGAGGATGGATGTCTACAGATGTCCAGCGTAGGCTTGCTTCCAAAGCTAGCCCGACGCTCCTTGCACAAGATGCAATGCTCCAGCTCAACTTCACTCAGAATGAAGGAAGCTGGATCGCACAAGTGTACCACGACGAGAACTTTCCGGCTCTGAAGCTGCCAAACGAGACATATAACAATAGCGTTCCTCTCACAGAATTTTGTAGCAAAAGGCATGAGGTCGATAGCAGTACTGGTAGTAGTCCCCAGTACGCCGTGTTCCGGAACGTGATGCTGGTGGGTCGACAACTTCTGCTCACCGCATCCATCAACTGCAGCTCACTGCCCGAGAATGTCACCGACAGCCTGAAGCTGAAGACGCCATATCACTTCGGCATGAGATCCACTCCCGAACTCGAGGCCACTGTGGTACGCGATACAGACAATTTCGAAGACTTTGAGCCTCATTATACGTGTCATGAACGAGTGTATGAGCCGTCTGTGTTGTTCTCCTTCATAAACTGGCCGCAGCATGGACACGCTTTGTTCAATGGCATTTCCATGCTCTGGGATGCCTTCCAGCACGAAGACACTGGGCCCTTATTCGGTGCGGGCAAGAATGTGAGACTTTATGCATACGGAGACGGCCTCAGCAAGAGTGACAGACAGGACTGGCAGCAGTACTTGCCGTTTTTCGGCGTCGGCTCGCTCCAGCCTATCATCAGCATGTTCACCCACCAACCTGTCAGAAGCTTGGCCAATTTGTTGATGCAGTCCGACAGACACCCGATCTGCTTCACCTATTTGTTGGTGGGCATCACCGGAGAGCTAGACCACTATAACTTCAATGTTTCCCTGAGCAAGTGGAGGCAATTCGCTCAGGCGGTGAGGCAGCATTTCGGTGTCCCTGACACTCCGAGGATCACTGGCTCCCGACTTCCTCCTCTGGAACGACTGGCTCCATCCAAAGGAGTTCTAAACAACGATGTCTCGCATCTGCCCGAGATCAGCCCCATCGCGTGGGAGGCGTTGCCCGACCGTCCTCGTCTGGTAATCATCGATCGCAGAGACAACAGAGTGATGGTGAATGTGGACGAGCTCTGCCAGATTGCCAACAGCACAGGTCACTTCAGGTCCACCCATGTCGTCTACTTGGAGGAGATGAGCATGGACGAGCAGATCCGCCTGCTGGGCGAGACCGATGTACTGTTCGGCATGGACGGGACCGGGCTCATGAACGGGATATTCATGCCGGAGGGCGGCATTGTCGTGCATGTCCGTCCCTACGGATGCGCAGAATTTCTGCCGGACAAGGGCAGGAACTTCGAAAGGCTATGGTCTGCACATCCGGGCCGCGTCATCCGCTATGAATCTGGCGACATCGAACGCACCCGCTTCCCTGCCCACATCAAAGAACGTCCGGAGCTTGTGTTCAATCACAGCTCTCCCGTGGCTTACAGAATGCCATTCATCCTCAGGCAGGACTCGATTATCGACCCTGCCGCCTTCCGTTGCCTTCTCCACTCTTCCAACCAGCTATTGCATGGGAAGGCTGTGGACTGGCAACAACACAATGAGTGCACAAAGAACGTCTACTTGTAGAGGACACAGTGCACACATGTCTCGCCTACTCTCAGTGCTTGTGTAATAAACCCCTCGATCGATAGACTTCACAATTGTTTGCTCGATAAGAAGATGATACCGAACGAAATCGCTCCCTACTCATCCATCCGAACTCAACGACTGAAACGAGCACCGATCGCTGTCCAACGAAGAGGTGTGCTGGTTGGGAGATGCAGATTCTATATCGAGTCTTTGACACACCTTGGCATGATTGCAAGCACGAGATGTTCCCCAGCTTGAACTCTGAATTAATTGTGCTGGAGTAAATTATACCCCTTCGGTGGACTACGACCCACCCTCTCTCTCAAATGCTGATCCATCAACTGCACAAACAAAGATGATTCAGTTAACGCAACAGAGTGTTCTCCGATACTCTGAGCGAATCAAGGCGCTCGATTGGAAGGGAGTTTGATCGTTAGCAGTGCCCATAATCTCATGGAGCAAGATTGCCGGGGGTGGGGGTGGAGAATCTGGATTTTGAACTCCGCCTCCGCTTTGTTAGACCACGAAACAGCTACGTGTTATAATTGTGCTGTTTGTGATTTTTAATGAATAGCTCACTTAAGGTCAGACTCTGATTTCTCTATTCCTAGTTTGTGCTGGTGAGTGGAACTTTAACCCATAAGTGAAAGCGAAATAAATTACTCGAGAAAAGGTACATTGCCCTAGATGTCCTCACTGAAGTTTCATCAGCCGTGTGTTCAGCCCAGAGCGAACTATTCTTTCGCCTTTTACTAAAGAATACCGTGTGCGGGACACAAAAGCGGCTTATCAAAATCTTTGGAACGCCCCTTCATTGGGGCACCACCGTAGAAACCCAATCAGGACCGCAGTAAATGAAAACGTATTGTGAAGTTGGTATGACATCCCTACGCTTCAGGATCTCAGGTTGGCTTGACCCCATAATACGCAACATAATACAAGTTGACAGCATAGTTGGATGCATCTGAATGAAGCAGTCATCAATTTAGTCAATTTGATCAAGCAAGTTCTAGTTATATAATAGTATTCCTATGTTTGGCAATAATTCTTTGATACAATATGACTTTTTATGTAATAATTTTGTACTTTTCTACTTGTAACTCATTGAGATAAAGTATGTATTTTTTATGTCTAATCTCCTGAACATGATTACCATTATGTATTCGGAAAACATGGAAGAATATAGCATGAACGTTGATTATCCATGAACAATGATGATTATTTTAGGCGATCCTCTACCGAGCGCCTAAATTGACACTCCCTCTAGCTACTAAATTAACAGGAACTCAGAATTGAAAGGTGTGAGATCTCAGCCAATAAAATGTGTTAAAATTTTATTGGCTGAGATCTCCGAATAAAATATGATGATCAATAATCAATTTGTAACTACGTCAATCTCATAACTCATCGAGGTGATAATCTAGAGTTTTTAAATTGATATTTATCTCGCCATGGATTGCACCCCATTAGTGATGGTGAATTTCTCAGTTAGTACCCCTCATTCGCTTTCAAGTGCACTCGAGAGAATTTTAGCACAAAGGAGACTAAATTAACTATACTTAGATGATTTAGGCGACCGATTTATATAACCATGCCATGGACGTTTCATGTAATAATTATTATTTTGCTCAGTAAAGTAAGCTTTTATATGATCTTTGTCCAGAGAAGATGAGTAATAAAATCTCTTATTGAGTATATGCTTTATTTGAATTCCCATCTATTAAACTTAAGAAAATATTTCCAGGGTTAAACAATACCAAAGTCAATTATACATGTCTTTAGAAAGTAGACAAGTGGTCTACAATGAAATTAATGATATGTCTCAAAAAGCCTAATGTTTAAATTAATTGCGCATAATTCACCATAACAGATTTAGGCCAAAACAAAAGGGGTTAATGGCGACAAAAAATGTGAATTCATTTGGACCTAGCGCAACAATTCCATGCATTAGAGTTAACATTTATTGTGAAAATAATTAAATTAAATTAATACCATTCTTGCATTTCTAGTAATTTTGGTGAATAATATTTTGAATATTATTAATAATTTGTGTGAAAAATTTACTCAAAATTGTAAACCAAACCTAAAACCCAGAGGAAGAGTACAAATGAACTTAGTACTGTATTCCAGTTTCTCTTGCACGGCAGATTCGGTTTTGATTCTTGGTGCCCGAGGTACGATTCCGCGTCCTTTCGAGCAGGTTGAAATTTGGTTCCCCTTTCTATATCGATTTTATGATTACAATTTTTGAACCATTTATAATTTCCGGTCCCAATGTTCTAAAAACATTGGGACCGGAAATATGGTGTCCTGGCAAGCGTTCCGCAAGTACTGCAGTCGGGGGCCGCATCACAGACACGCTTCCCTGAGTGTACTGTGGTCGGAACCAAACGTTTGGGACTTTCATTGCACGGCTTTAAGGGTCGTCCCGAACTAGTGGGCTATGTTCAGTACGTGCCCCGCTTGGGACCGAAAGTGGCACACGACAGACGGCGGAGGATCAAGAAACTCAAGGGAGCGCCCGGCGCCTTGGGATCTTGAAAATTGCGGAGTTCGAAGGCGAAGCGCGTCGGGCGTCGGGCTGACGAGGAGCAGATTCGCAGATGCAAAGAGGTCCTCTGCGACCGACGGCCGCGTGGCCGGCGAGGCCAGCTTAATTGTCGGCTAGAGTTGCGGAGACTGGACTATCGAGAAATCCTTCCGCCTTCCGCAGCCTTCAGGGATCTCTCACCTTCCGTTCTTGTCGCTCGTCCACCTCGCGACTCCAAGAACACCACCTGCGTCGCGCAATTCGCCTCTCGTCACCGAATGAATGTCGGACTGCTGTGATGTCTTCGTCGAGCCGCGATTTTGCAGAGGTTTTTCCCGCTCTCTCAGCACCTCCGGTGGTCTCTCACGCGATGGTCCCGAATCGAGTATGTCGGACTCCACCCCCTGCCTCGACACAAGATGGAAGCTGAAATGTGAAGGGAGAAAATCGTGCGGGCTGTACACTTAGATGAACTCATGTCTTGGTTTAAACTGATGAAAATCCTCGAGACAGAGGCGAGCTTAACGAATGAAAGCTTGCAATAAATTCCATCGTAAGGGTGGGCATAGATATACTGCTCGTTGCAAACATAAGTGGAAACTATCACTGTATCTGCAAGGTTTTACCAGGGTGCAACACCATCATGTCCACCTGAACTGGTCGAATTTTCCTCGGAAACGTTTGAGAATTTTCTGATCTCGCCATCGCAGACGACAGGCTTTACTGGTGAAGGAAAATTAGCATAATGTTCCTCGGCACGCGCGAACTCTCTTTCATGGCTGCAGAAACTAATCAACTTGATTCTGCCAAGGGTCTACTTTCTGTTTTCTCACTTACTCTGCTGTAGTCAAATTGTTGGTTCTCGTTGTTATCACCTAGCAGTGCGGTCGGTGCTTTCTGTGAATCGGCTTCAAGGAGCTAGATATTTTGTACTGTTTGGGCATTGTAAATGCACTACACTGTGTTCATATGCATTTCGTATGCAATCGAAATCGGGTAGGTTGACACAAATTCGAATGATGGTTGCAGCCTTCTTGTACTCCTCCATTAGCAGAATCTCCACGAAGACTCGAACCACCCCAACTTTCAAGGACACCAGAGTTAACGAGTAGATCTTTGCAGAGGTATTGTCATTAAAGCTGTACGATTTGACTTCAAGTGAAATCCAAAGCATGTTACACAGATATAACAAATTTGAGAAACTCATGATGTTGTACATAGTTCAGAGACTGTGGTTATTGGTTTAATTTGTGAATTTGTGATTCTCACAGGATCTCCGATGGATTTTTTCTTTCTTCGGACGTTGTCAATTCGGATGAGAGATATCATCTTGAACCGGATAACGATGATGAGTGGCAAAGGAATCTCTGTTCAGAACCAAGAGAATATCAAAGCAGACGGCAACCAGATATCAGCCAGAGTACATTTCTGCAAATTCCCATCTTTGGATTCATTTTGCTTTCCGCTTCCAATGGTATAATTTTGGTCCAGCAACAAGGAAGTGTAAGCACTGTTGCTCTGCTGTTACTTCTCTCTACTGTTGTTTTATATAGATATCAACGTTTTTCATGAGGTTCAAGGCTATATGAAACAATTTGGGCACATCACGTGGCCTACGTACCTAGGCTGACTCATCGGGCATTTTCTTTCAAAGTAGGCTGGCGGTTTAAGTGCACCGTGGTTAAGCCTTCTGGTGAAGGCACATTATGAAACAGACGCGAAGGGATTACATTGCTTTAGGTGACAGAAACAGATGAATGATTGAGAATAAACATCCCTTCGCGACTGTTTATTCTCAAGCATTCATTACCTGTTAACTAAAGCAACTGGGTCTTAGCTCATCAGAGACTCAAATGCGGACGAAAGCCACGGCTGAAGCTGTTTTCAATGTGCAGGACTGTTTACCAACTAGTGACAACAAGCTGAAGTTTATCTCCAAACGAGATGGACTTTGCCGTTCTAACGTACTGCAAGAACTTTCTTCTAACCCCCAAAAGCAGAATAAGGACTGGAGCTTTTTCTTTCTACTTAGCAACTGAAAAGACTTGGACCACGGCCTAAAACCTGCATATCCTGAAGAGTCGATGCAGGGGTCAACTGATATATTAGAGTGGGAAGAATCAGCTGATATGGATTTCGAGAAAAAAAAATGTGACAACGAGCATGAGATCCAGTTTTCATGGTGGGTCCTTTTCCACGCATAATCCCCGAAAGCACGCTCTTCGCATGTCGTTATTGTAGTCTACTCTGCATAATAATTGGCGAACTATATTGCGCCATTGGATTGCACTTCAGGACAATGGGCAAGAACAATCTGGAAAGGGTGGAGAATGTAAAACATCAACCCAGTTCGAGTGGAGAATGCCCCCAGGAAAACTTGACGTAAGTATCTTTGACGTTACCACACGTCTTAAGAATGTAAGAATATAACACATGCCTGTTTTAACTGGTTCATTGTTGCCACGCACAATTTTAAAACAAGTCGAGTCGAGGGCAAACCCACAAACCTACAGTAATGAAGGACAGAAAGGGTAAACCCACTTATACCAGAGGAGATGCAGGAATGGTGGCTTCAAACTTCACGGAAAGCAAAGTGTTGACGGATACACTCCAGACCACGAGGAGTACGACAAGGTGGAGGATGACCCGAGTGAAGATAATGCCGGTGGTTCGCATGCACACCAAGAGCATCCTCATTCAGGGAGCCCTTATGGCCAAGCCGGGAAACCACAAGAAGCGTATGTAGTTGATCCTCCTACTCAAGGCCACAAAATGCGCTCGTTTCAAAATTCCTCAGATCCAACTGTGGAGATTGTTGCAGGTTCGACGGATAACCCTAATCTACAGTCTAGTAGACGCGCAAACGTTGTCTTGTACAGCGAGAAGACAATCGATCCAGTTATTAGCAGTTCTCTGTTTGGTGACGAAGCGCTCCACAAGTTGCTGGGACAAAGCGCCAAAACTTCTTACTGGGCAAGGCTATGCATCAAAGAGCCTCAAAATTCGGCAACAGGTGAGCTCGAAAGGCCAGGACACATTTCTGGTACTAGTGGATCAGATTCTGTGAATGGCTCATCAAAGGAGCATGAAAGGCATATCGAGGAAAATAAATGCAACAGTAATATTAAGATTGTAGGAAGAGAAGATCAGAATCATGTGACGTTAAAACATCCTCTCGACAGCGAGATTAGAAGATATATAGGTCTAGAATCATCTCCAGTGAAGAGTATTTCTTCAGGAAAACCTGAAGCAACTGAAGCAACCAAATCAATCTGGCTGTCAAAAGACGTTAATTTGAACACGCTGTTGGCCCAAGGCTTCAGTCTAGAGAGACAGCAGTTGAATACGGGAAAAGTCGAGAACTCATCTAAACAAATAGAGTCGTCAGATGCGAAACCTGTAGCGAATAGAAAGGACTTGAAAACTTCATCCTCACTTCCAATGGCGGTGAGGCACAAAAATCAAACAGATGCGACCCAGAGTTTAAGGTCTAAATTAGAGAAAACTGTGGGTCGGACCCCTGGTTCGAAGAACCAAAGTCAGTTAGTCTCTCATAACTCGAAGACAAGGAGGTTGGAAACCACTGCGTCATCATTTCAGGCCCTTGCGATGAAGTCACAGCTGATGACATCCCCACGAGGAACCAAAAAGGGATCCTCTTCGCAGAACTTGAAATCTCTTTATCAGGGAAATAGCCTTGAGAGGTTGATTGGTGATAATGAAGCAACCAACAAAAGAAAGAACAGTACCGTCACCAACAAAGGCTTCTCTGAGTCTTGCGGTACTTCCGAACTTTTACTAGTAGGTTGCATTCTTTTATTGCAATCACCATAGAAAATGATGATTTCATGAGAACAAACGAATTCACAGAGATTGCCGGAACTCACGAAAAAATCAACTGCAAGGACTGCAGGAAAAGGGAAAAGCAACGAAGAACTAGAAGGTCTCTATGTGGAGTTCGCTGAAAATGTAAGTGAAGCAAAGGTGCAGTTTCAGCGTAAGAATAAGTCCTCGGAACAAAGGCTGATGATGATGCATCGTTTTTCTCTGTCGTCACAGCATCTTTACCCTTTTGTGATGCCATCAACAGGTAGCGAACATGCGACCAAGCAATGGAGCTGCAAATTCAGTACCCTCAGCATTAAGTTTTGAGCAAATCCATCCCGGGTCGACCTCGAAAGTACTGGAACTTCATAAATATGTATGTGTGGAGTCAAAGGATATAGAGTCGCTGTGCAACCGGAATCATGAACAAACTTGTGCATCTAGCAGATAACTTCGTCCAAACGATCTTGAGAATTTCCTAGTTCTTTCTTGTTCTTCCTTTCAGTTCGATGATTGGACCAACATCGACACACTAAGTTACTCGAATAAGCCTCATTCTGCACACAAAAGCCAATGTTTGTCACAGAAGATGTTTTCAGACAGTTATGTAGATGCATTTCCCATTAGTGTACAATGCATTCATCATTACAAATAGTGGCCGATGAACGTATTGAATCATGCACTTGTTATATCTTTGTCCGATGGTAGTGTGAAAATGGCAACCCCTTCCGTGTATTTAGCTTTAAACGTCTGGCGAGTAATTGCTTTAGTGTTAGGAACGAGGATAGACCTGCAACTTACTTTACACTTTCTTATCTTGCAGTTAGATGACCTCAATAAACAGATTGCAGAGGAAAGACAAGAGAAACAGCTGATACAGAAAAGGTTTGGCGATCAACATCATGAATTTGAAAGAATTTCAAGAGACAAACAAGAACTCTGGGAGGCTAAGCTGAGGGAGCTGCAGAAGGACAAGTATGCTTTACAAATTCGCCTGCAGGTATGACTGGCTTTACTGTTTGGTGTCTGCTCAGTAGTAGAGGGCAATAAATAATATTTATACTGCGAGTGTTTCATGTTTCCAGCCTCCGATTTTGGACGAACTTATGTTCACAGAATCCCGTCCGTCCACTTTCCATTTTCCATGCAAGCACAGATTAGACAGGAAAGAACTATAACTTTAACGAAATTTTACGTTCAGTAATACTTCGTTATCGTGAATCTGCACCCGAAACTTTGTCTTCAACGCTGGTCACCTATGTTCAAGTTAGCCCATCCTTTAAATTTGATTGTGGCATAAATCTTAGCCAGTCTAGCTCACAGGTATAGATTTATCTGAAAAGGATTAAAATCCTTCAATCCAGAAAATTATTTCCAGAGGCTGAGAAGCTAAGATACTCATCTTAGCTTGATGTGGTCCTTACGTAGTGGATTTGGTAGAATGCGAGTCTAGGGACATCGATCCAGCTTGCTGCAAAGAAGCAATCCTTGAAAAGCCGGGCATTTTAAAATCTCGTAACTTCTGGTCGAACTCTCATAAGGAGATGATTTGAAGATTGATCGCACTACACCTACAATGAGTCTGTGAAGGCTTTTCGTCTTATTTAGGCTGTTCACGGAGGAGAGTGTTTAGTACCTATGTTCTATGACATTAAGCCTCTCAACTAAACGATGATACTCCATTATATGGAATAACTGGCAAACAAGTGATTCAATTCCGAGCTATGATATTGGAATACAGGTCGTGAAGAACCAGACGGCGTAAAAGAGTTCCTTGAAGAGTAATTTCCAAAAGATTAATTTGATTTCATTCTGAATATCCCGTAGAGAATCTATGAAAAAGATATTGCTTCTTCTGAATCACCTCGATTACATATTTTCAGGAAGTAGAGGCGGAAAATCCTAGACAAAAGATCAAAAGAGTTGGTGAAAGTGTCAACTTGACAGAAGGTGAATTAAGACGTCTGAGACAGGAAATTTTGGAACAAGAGGCTCTGATCAAAGGCTATCAGGTGAAGTGATACGGGAGTCACGAAATATTATTTGAAAGTAATATTTATACTGCTTAACTCTCGCTCATTGCGCTAGAAACGCTTATCTTTTTCGTTTGCGACCTTAGATTTGGCAACTGATACAGCATTATAACTGAAACTGAGAAGCCTTTTGCCTCAAACTCCTAAATTTTACAGGTTGAGAATGAGAAAGCCGTCAAGAAGTTGAAAGACATAGAGTCCACTTACAAAGAAAGAGCGCAACTGATGGCTGAAGAGAACGCTCGTTTGGCTTCACAGCTGGCGAATATACAATTTGCTGGATGCCAAACCACGATTTATGGATCGACTCCAAATGCAACAAAGGAAATCCAGGCTTTGAGGACAGAGCTATTTGATCTGCAAAGCCGGGAGACCATGCTGAGGCTTGAGCTGGAGAGAGTACAGGACTGCCTATCTTGTGGTTCACATCATTGGATTTTCTGTTCAAGACCTTGAAATAAACCGTTTAGTAGATGATTTGGTCGATCACGATTTCAAAATCTATTGAAATTCTTCAAAGGAGAAAAATTAGTTACAATGATCAGAACCATGGCACGTGTAATATGGAATGCGAGGTGTCTGTTAGGTATCATCAAGGAGAGTAGCAAGATGTAAGCTAGAAATGAAACCAAATATACTGCATATTACGATGGACTTGCAGGAAAAGAAGAACAATCAAGAGCTGGGGAAGAGTCTGGCTACTCTTAATCAAGACAGAGAAAACGAAGTGGAATCATTGAAGCAAATGCTGGTCAAGGAAAGACTGGAACACGCCCAAGCAGTTGAGCTAAAGGAAGAGCAAACTCAGCTCTACTTAAAGAGTCAGGATGCAGTGAAAGCCTTGAGTAAAAGGCTTGAAGATCAGGTCTTGTTCTGTGGCTACATCAATCTTTTGTCTTCTTGTATAAAAATACTTAAGAATATAGAGAATCTTAACCTTGAGAATATCTACAAGCTATTCAAGATGCTCTGTGACAACGTAAGAACCTTGGCATGTTTCGACCATCTGTACGCCATGGACAAGATTCTGCACTCCATCAGATGTCTCTTGGTAGCATTACGTCTTACTTAGTTGGCTGGAATAGAACTGCTTAGAACCTTGAATCACGAGAAAATTTTAGAGCGAATACCTTGGATCATACATACCTGATTAGCTTGAATCATGATATCAGGACGGCATTGTAGCTGATTTGCGAAGCAAGGTAGAGGTTTTCGAAAGTCAAGAAGAATTTGGAAAGGAAAACGAAAGAGATAGTCGGAAACCATTTCAAGGTCAGAGAAACTGGAGCAACATTCAAAAAATGAAGGCCATCAAACGGATTGAAGACCTTCAAAAGCAGGTATCATCTAGATCCGAATACACAGTCATCGTACTATTTACAATCAAGAGGCTAAACTTGGTACATAGCAATGTATCAGTTATATCCTGCAGTGGTGTTTCTTCACAGGACCTACTCAATAAATATTAGAAGTATACTGCTGAAATGTCACTCTACAAACTCGGATCAGCATGATGTTTAGACAAGAGAAGAAGCCAGAACTAAAACTAGCTAACACCTGAAATTATCATGACTGTAGCACTGTGAAACCGACTAGCATGACTATTTCATGTCATCCATCACAGGTCAAAAAACTGGAGGCAAACTTGAAGTTGAAAAACGAACATTTGCGAGACAATCAGGTTCGATGCCGTCAGAATCAGAAACTTTAGTAATCTAATTGAATGTACGTGAGCTACGATTACTATCGTCAGTAGCGAAGGAAGGAAGATAGAGGACTGACAATAGATGTATCCATGAAGTTAGTGTGTTGCCTCTTTGGACCAGGCCACCTTATAATATCGTGTGTGGGTCTTCTGGGCTTTGTACTCTTCCGTATGAAATCAGCTCAATAAAGGATCAGCCTTTTGCCAAAGCTTTCTCCTCGTTATCAGATTCATACAGTTACTTAGATTAGTGGACTCGAGTTTATGAAGTTCAATGAACTGATCACACTAATATTACTTCTTTGAACGCCAGCAACCATTGGCGACAAGCACCGATGAAAGCGAGAAAGTTAAGAGCCTGCAGGAGGAAGTGAGGAGTTTACAACATCAGATTAGAGATGACAACTCAAGGAGTGTATTACAAGGGTTGAGGCATGAACATGATCAACTTAAGCAAGAGTATTCGAGAGTCTGTGCGGTAACCCAGCAGCTCAAGAACCAGTTACGGGCTTCAGCAGAAAATGACCCTTCCGCTGCGAAGAAAGTCAAAGATCTCGAAAAGCAGGTAGTAACCTGCTCATGTTCACAACGTCTAGATCGGTCATAAATCTCCTATGTTCAGCGAATAAGCGTTTTTGGAGGAGGAGATTTTCTTGTCTGTTTAGCAGTTCGAGTTCGATTTTAACTCCTAAAATGTCCAGATCCAGATCAGTGAGGGTACATACTGATAGCATTCTGAATAGGACTCCTTGAGTTGTGTGAATTTGACCTGCTCGTCACTCAACGTCCCTGTTGAACTAGAGGTGATGAACGTTTACAAAGGAGATATCTGAATCTAACAGGTAGAAGATATAAGGGTTTTCTACATCAAGAAAGTTAGAGATTTAACAAGGCAGCTGGGAGATGCTCGGAAAGAAAGTTCCAAGATGTACACGAATATGGAAGCTCGAAAGACGGCGGACAAGTTCAACCTCAAGGTAATGTATGCATACAGTGACTTTTATTTTATTTCAGTCTTTTATCTTCTCCTCGGTGGTAAGTTCGAATTTTGCAAGTCACAAGGATATATGTTGATATGCTTAGCATCAAAATCGGGCGATATCTAAAGTGAGTTTATATTTCTCTCTGTCCAGCATGATGCTTCAAATATAGCGGTCAGACATACACATAATATGCAGTGAACTGGTTTCTTTTCTTACGTTGATTCTTAGGTGAAATACAGTCTGAAAGAGAGATAAAAAGTTCTTAGGAGCCACATCATCCTGACAGCAGTCTCATACAATCCTTTGATATACAATTTGCAAATTGTTGTGTCATCAATTCATAGATCGGCAAGATATTTTTGAATTCACAACATGCATTGACCTAACATTTGTTTACTGTGCCATAATAAGAATTTCAAACAAATTTTCTACAGATGAACAAACTAGAAGAGACTTTGGCGAAAAGAGATGCAGTCATTAAAAAACTGCAATTGAAGATTAAGGATCTTGAAGCGAAGAAAGGTTAGTCCTTGATGAGGGTTGCTTAAGATTTAATTTGCTTGTTTCTACTACTTTGGCCTCTTTCATGTTAGCAAGACTGTGAGTTTCAGTTGGATACTCCATGCAGGAAACTTATCAAAAGGATCAGGACTCGGTCCAAATGTCATCAAGAGTACAAGTCCTTCACTACTCGCAATTAGCACTCTGCAACAAACAAGTAGCAAGACAGGAATGATTGACCATGCTGAAAAACCGAAGGAGTATCTGCCAAGGGACATAAAAGATTCTCATTGCAATCAATATGAAGATAATACTGGAGAAGACCTTGTTGAGGAGAGGAAATTGCTGAAACCTGTGCTTTTGAGACGTAATACAAAGAATGTAAAGGAAGCTGTTCTTTCTGTTGCAGGCGGAGAGCTTCCTAATTCTACTTCCACCGAGGTACCCTCTTGGTCACCCGATGGAGTAACTTCTACTGTCTATTTCGAAGATTATTTTTGTCCATTGTGCTGATATCTTCTCAAAGACGGTCAACGTATATAAGGCACTGAATGAAACTAGGTGTACTCATCGACTTCGCCGAAATTGTTCACACGCATTTCTTGTTGCAACTGAAAGACGAACGAGCCCATCGTTCAAACCTCTTCTCAATAGAAGTTATGCGTCACCCTCTGTAACAGTTACATTAACTCCTATCTGCCATAGGTAGCTTCGCTTCGGAAGCAACTGGAGGCGGCTGAAATCGCTCGAGAAGTACTTCAAAAGACGTGCACTGAAACGATGGAGAGGGCTGCTTTGATGTCGGTGCAACATCAACAGATGATGAGAAACGTTAAGGAAGTTCATGCGATGCGAGTTGCAGGAGACCGCAGTTGTAACAGTAAGTGTAAATATATATGTAGATACCTTTTGTCAGTAAATTCTCAGCCATTATCAACATTGTTACGTGTTACATTGTATGAAATGAGGTCAACATGGGCTACTCCAACAGTTTGTAATTTATGTGTTTAGAACTTTTTCCTGTCTTCAAGTGACTGGCCTGAAATTTCCCAAGAAGTCACCCACTCAGGTATTTTTAAGGCTCAAGGGCTCTGGCATACTTGAAAACATCTGAATTCTAATATATATTTTTTATTATACATGGAAATATTTATGCAATCATCAATCTGGGTGCATTTCCATCTACTGTTGATATAGTGTGATGAAAGGGGAAACTACTAAGAAAAAAATCTTCTGTAGTAACCTCAGTATCTTGTTTAGACGAGCAGTAGATAATAGTATATCTTCAAACGCCAAACGAATTTGAACTAAGACCCATGAGTATACAATAAGAAAAACTTACAAGTTTCTCTCCTGATTTAATAGGAGACGATCAGGAAGGAGGGTGGCAAAGAAAATATAAGAATCAAGCCCTAGAGGTTGAGAACGAAGTATTGGAGTCGAGGTGAGCTCAGCATTCTTAAGTACTTTTCTTTGTATCCCAGTGCTATTACATGGATAGATATCCATGTTATGGCCATCTTCCAAGATGTTGATTTTTTCTACTAACATTTGTTTGTGGATTACTAATGTAGGGCTTTGAAAGAAGTCAAGAAAATAATACTACCCGCATGCATTCAGATATCAAAGGAGAGCAGAAACACCACAATTTAAGACTATTCACAAGCCATAAACTAGGGGTTATGTATGTAAGATGTGCCTTACATCATTCTAACCTGTCAAATTTAGAATTCATATTGAATGTGCACGGATCTTACACTTACTTGTAGGACTAGGCGAATAAGATTCATTCATGTGTGATGTGTGTGATGACTAACTTTTCGTACAATTATACTCCAGAGTCAAAGATCTATCGGTGGAGTTAGTTGATCAAACGGCTCAAAAATCGCCACGCATGGCTCAGGTACAGTATTCTTCTTGACATTTCTCATCTGAACTCGTGATCGGTGGGTCTCCAAAAAATTCAAAATCCTATGCTTTGCGTTCATTTAAACTTACATTTTACCACACTTACCAGTTTTGAAATGACAGATATATTCACTCAAGCCGAATCGACCGTCATAGAAGACTATAATAGTTAGATAATTGTGGGAATCAATTTAACAAATCGAGTTTATTCTTTACAGTATACTTATGCAATATGCGTTTTTAAGCAAACGTTTACAAGAAGAAAGGGCTATTGATAATTGAAATGCTAAACGCCGCCGGATATTTGTAAATCCAAGACTGCCTCTAAAAACGGAGTTGTTTAAAATGTCCATCCCTCGTTATAAATCCATTTTCCTTAAAAAAACTCTGGAAGACAGTGCCACTCCAAAGCTGAAACAATCTTGATCTCCAATTTACTAAGTGGTTCATATCATGAAGTGCCCAAATATCCAGATTCCTTATGTACCAGTCATAAAAAAACTATATGGAGTTTTGTTTTCCAGGCGTCTAAGGTCAATCTGAACCTGAATTTCTTGTTGTATACCAAGTCCAACACAAAAGCGAAGAAAAACTGATAGGCAATGAACTCTTATACTCGAGACTACCTGGATATCTCACTTATAGACGGCTGTAATTGTCATATACAATGATTTGGGGTACTAAGACGTTTTTGCTATCCTCATAAGGTAGCCCGGTCCTCTGTAACCTTGAATCGTAGCTACGAACTTTTTTTTGTCCAGGCAAGAATTAGCTCCTATTTCCTGCGCAGGTGATATATCAACTGCAGAAAGGAAGCAGATTCAAGGACAAATTACCACCTCCATTCAAATGGAATGAAGAACACCTAGCCTCAAGCTATAGACAACACTGGAGTGATCACAGGATACTGTTTCCTCATGGCACTATGTGGTAACACTGTGTCCGTTCTGCTAGAACAGAGAAGTTGAATGTTATGGTTCACCAAGCCTTGGTCGGAAACCGTCCATATTTTACATTTGTATCCTCCTCCAAGCCATCACTACATCACTGCCTCGATCTGAAGAGGCAATGCTGTAAGGCACCGTGATCTTTCTGACTGAGCTGTCTCTTGTTGAAAGAGACATTCAGTATTGGTTTCGTTGATGCTATATATTGGCACTCTCCACCAGACCAGCAGACATGGGGATAACTTAGATCCATACTCCTGTCAAAATTGGAAACTGCCACCTTGATTGTGGAAAGGTCCGGAGGTCACTATATGCAGATCAGGGACATCCAATGGACCTGATTTCAGCGTAGGAGTGTAGGAGTTGAGAAATATAGAAAATATGCGATAAAGCCTTCAGATTAAGACTAGCTCAATTAGCACGATGGATTCTGGTGGGCCTGAAGTTTGATTTGCACGAAGATCTGTGATACTTGGGTGGAAGCATCTGCTAAGCAACAAATACATAATACGGTAAATCGAACCTGTAATATGCCTTATCGAACCTGTAATTTGCCTAATGGGTTACTGAATGTCCTAATGTCAGAGAACGACACTGCTCATCGCCGTGACGTCCCGATTTCAGAACTATTGATTTGATGTTTGAAATTGAATAGTTGAGACTGAACAATTTCTGATGGAAGTTATCATTTGCTCCGAGTCTAGGATTCAATGCATGCATGAAAACTCGTAGTCCGATGTCTTTTTAATGCTCGAGGTCCAGAAGTCGGTAGGATTCCTTAATTCGTATATTCGCCCATCGTACTAATCTTAAATCCGAGGGAATGGATTTTAACTAGTTTAGACATGCTGTGGTTTTTCGATTTTACAGCTCCAGTTCCTACGAAAAAGGATTGAGGACATGGAGGCTCGCCATAAAGAAAGAGAGTGGGAGTGGCAAAAAATTTTGCAAGATACCAGGAGGTTACCTAGCAGCAAACGACAAGATAAGGATGAAGAACTCTGGCAAATGGCCTACAAGGCCAAATATGAAGAGATGGAAAGTTTCAAGAATGAAGTGGACTCTGTGTTGGAGGCGGCTCTGGCTTTCCAGAACTCTCAGATGGAAAACGCCGAACACAAGCTTTTCACAAGAAATGATGCCAAGCGTTGAGAATGCGTTGGAAATTTTTTTATTTTCAATAATTTTCCAGCTCCTAAAGATTTGTATCATGCCTTCTTCATTGCAAATATACTTTCAATTTTTTCAATTTTTTCATTTTTTCCAAGGTAGAGGAGTTCTTTAGGTTCCCGGCTTTGTAAATGTTGGTAGATGTAACGCATTCATGCTGGAACTGGCGTTTCTTTCTTCTCACATCAGATTCAATTGGAAACATCTTTTTTTCCAGCCAATAATCAGCGATGTGAGATCTGACCTGTAGATTTCAGGGCGAGAATGTTATTCATAGCTTCTGCCCGGCATTTCCAGGTTTGAAGCAGACAGATTATTCATTTTGGAGACATGTAAGTAAAGTCAAACAGATAACTACCACAACCTTGGAACTTGAAAACTTGGTCTTCCCTCAACGTTGTAGCCAGGAACTTTGAACACACTGAGAGCCGCTAAGGGCCAGCATACCATAAGTGTTTTTCATCTAATCCCTCCTTTCCAACAAATAGATTCGGTTTCTCTTAGACTCTTGATATGCATGTGTAAGATTTACGGCGTTTGCTCAAGCATATGGGGATCGAGAATATGACCGTGCATAATAAGCACACATGCAGCCAGTTTGACGGGAGCTTTCCTCTTGCCTAGGAAATCAGGGAAAGGTAAGAGCCGCATGTTGCTGAAGCAGCCAGGAGCAAGAAGCTAGTTGTTTGGAGAATATCGAGGATGTAATTGGTGGCTATCGTGGTCACTCGGAGGAGCTGAACTTTTGCTGATCTTAGCATATATGTCAATGCTTTTTCGCTTACATTGAAACGTCCATGACCTGACGAGTGAACCACTCATGGCAACGGACGTGAGGCATGTCATGTATAAATAGTTGTCATGTGCCAGCTTTAGAACTTTCTTAGCGATCAAGAGCTGTAGAAGTGTAGTTCTGTATCACTCCAGCGAAGTGTCTGTAACCAAGAACGCGTGGTGAGTTCCAATCTTCTGTCTCGTTAAAGTATGGGGGGTTCCAGAGTAAAGCTCACTAGGGAACCAGAAATGTTCAGATCTTGATTGTCTTTGAGGTATCATTGATCATGGCTCAGTTTTGTGTTTCATTAAGTCAGCTTTGTAGTGTAACGCGATAGGGTATATCCTCTTTTGAAATCTATAAGAAGCAGGTATTTTTATGTTGCTTCGACATAGTGCTGACACACGGATATCAGGACTGTGAATGTCGGAAAGATTCGTCCTTCCGAATCGATGTAAAAGCTAGTCTAATATCATTGTAATATGTTTTTCGTACAATGATATGAAGTAGCGCCCAGTGTGTTAACACTCTAAGATGTCACACCTACAATATCAGCAAGTGGAATCATAACTACTGTCGCTGTCCTGACAATTCAGTAACAGTCTCTAAAACAAGATGTTTGTAAACCTGTTCTACATAAAAGTTGCTACACATTTGACTTATTTGTTTTGTAGGCGATGATTGGTATATCAGTCCCTCTTGTTATATATAATGCACTCTGATGTTTAGAGTGTAGAGTCACAATTCAATCACAATTACATGTAAATGATTTGCGTGAGCAACTAAATTGCTTCATGTTTTATTGTACTATGGAATCATATCAAATTTATGTGGATTGAGCATCACATGTCTAGCTGTGTATGTTCAGTTAATGTATACATCATGAGATAGTAATAAAACATACATAGACGTAGATTTTAAGTTGTTTAAATCTTCATAGTCTTCATACACAAATTTCAAAGTGATTTGTCATCTCTTAACTTTGCATCAAATAATAATTTTTATAGTCAATTATATATAAATTAATCACCTATTATTTAATATCATTTTGAAATAAATGCCTATAATAATTTTTAGGAGACAATTAATAGTATTTTCATGAACATTTTTTAAAAAAGTATGTGTTTATGTTAATTTGGCACTAGCAGCATATTGTTTGAAAGGAATAAAATAATAAGTTTTATAGTCTGAATTTCATTTCAAAATTAACAAGTATTTTTCTTGCATAGTTATCAACATCAATTATAACATTTCTTAATTTATGATATTGCTAGCTAAAAGCAGATTTTCCATTTACAAAATAGATTACAACATAATTTTAGTTTAGCAATTAAATACTTGAAAAATTGTGAAAATAAGTTTCATAATCATTTTAGATTTTTAGCAAGTTAATTAGTTTGAGTATTATCATTGACAAGTGTAATGAGTTACATCTGAGAGTACTTACACAGTTTTTTATGATATACATTAAAATGAACTACTATTTATTTTTGGTGAACTATTTGAAGTAAATTATGTAATTCTTATTTTTTCATACTGTGAATGTTGCTAATTATGATTTGAGTAACAATCGATATCCACTCAACGCGAGATAATTAGTGATTATATTATATGAAAAGAACTAATGAGAGTTTAAGCGAAGATTACATGTACAAATTTAGTATATGTGAACATTCAGAAAATGTTATGTTGTGACGCGCCAACATTAAGCATTTTGATGTCTACCTTTACATATTGTTCATATGACTAATGGCTAAGTTTTGATTGATCTTAAAGCTTTAAAAGATATGAACAATAAAACTTGGTCAAGATTCTCAAATTATTATATCAAAGTGAAATTATAGATAGGTACAAAATTTTATATAAAAAAAGTCAAGTAATATGACAAGTATTTAATTTTTATGAAGAATCTCATTATGTTTAGTTTGTTTATCACTTGGAAATATTATGATGTAAAAACTGAAAACTTCTTTTCAACTCTTTTTTTCTACTCATTTGTTTGTATGTTGCAATTTGAGATTGAAGATTTTCATCATTTGTTAGCATTGATGCTATGGTACTAAATCTATTGTTTCATCGTTTGATATTTGGATTTGTATTTATTATTTCTTCTATTTTAAGATAATTACAAAAATTTCATATTTAGAAAATTTGGAAAATATAAATATTCAGAAAGATTTAAGGTTTTGAATAATTTATGATTTAATTTATACTTGATCAGATTAAAATTTACTTTATTTATCTATCATCTTATCTAAGTTACTTTGTTCATATAAATAGAAAAAAATCTGTTTTCCAAATATATATCTTTATTTCTTATATTTATAAAATATTTATATTTCTTTATTTTATATTTCTTTATATTTATATATTTATATTTCAGCTTTATTTTGACTGAAATATAGCTTCAATTAAAATCAAAATTCTTTAAACTTTATTAAAAACCTATGGCTATTGGTTTTCATATTCATTACTGAAAAATATGTATCAACGAGAGCTATTTGATAAGTTTTTTGAGGTTTGTAGAATTATAACAGACTTTTTTAATCACACATACACAATATAAAAAAATTAACAGGAAAATTATAAATAAGTCTACAAATTTAGAAATAAAAGTATGAAATTTTTTTGTGAAATTTAAGAACTTCAAAAAAAAATTCGAACCTGGAGTTATGTATCCAAAGATTACATGAGTGTTTTAAACTTTTTAATAATCAAATTTTTCCACAAAGCAACTTAAAACTTTAAATTTTCTTGTAGAAAAAAAATCCCAGTCATTGAAGGTAGTTTTGAACACATATTAATGATTAAGGTTTGATGTGCATAATCAAAGTTGCAAGATTTATTGATTTTTATCAGCTTATTATAAGATAAATAGCTTTTGTTACAAAGAGTTAACTAAATAAAATTTTTTATAATATGAGTTAACAAGACAAAATATTATGAAATTTGATATTAATTAAATTAGAAATTTCAAGAATCATGACATAATGTTACAGTGCAAGGATTTGTATATCAGTTTCTAAAACATTTGATGATTAAAAAATTGGTATTAAAAATTTAGCGATTCAAATTTTATAAAATCCATTGAAAGCATTAGATTGTTAGCTTTTGATTATTCATGAAATCTTAATATTAAAATGTTTAAATCTTAGATTCTACAACGTTTATGATAATAAACTTTCAATCACTTCAAACAATTGAATGTCAAATTGTGTAGAGAGAATTGAAGTATGATTAATCCACAAGTGTTGAAAATGAAATAGCTTGAATCATAATAATTTAAAATATATTCATCATATTTTTATGCATTTGAAAAAAATCAAAATATTGGCAAAATATACTTAGAATAGAACTAAATATCATAAAAATAGATAAAAATACTTTTTCTCAATAATTTTCAATTACATAATTATCATATTTAATTCTAATAGAAAATATGAAACATTTAAAAAATGTGAAGATTACAACCAAAAATATTCCAATCATATACTAAAATTATCCTAAATTCTTACAGTGATATATAAATAACTTATTTAATTTGAATAATCAATTTTATGATGAAAGAAAAAATCAAAAAAAATTAGGCATAAAATAAATAAAGCAAAATAAAATATATTCATCCATTGTAAGTTTTGAATCTCTGAGATCTTATTGATATGTTTTTTTACCTCAGATCTGATAAACTTAGTTGGATTGTAAAACTCTTTATTTATTAGAATTTTGCCAAAAATTTGGCTACAACTTTCCGATACATAATCTGCAATAGCTAACAGATGTGATACTTGTGCTCTGTCAAAATACGATGGGATTCACAAAACCTTTTGATATCAAAACACGATATAATCTAATCCAATTTTACATATTTGCATAACATTTTAGAATATATGTTATTACATAGAGTGAACCTACAATTTAGTTTGGACTTTTTTATTTCTAATCAAATTACATACATTAATTGTACGGAAAATTATTATAATTTTTTATTTTTCTTGCTTAATACTATTCTTCGAGTCAATCAATGCACTTGAGTATGTGAACATGTGTTTATTGTTCATCTTGGATCCGTTTCATCAAAAAAATAAATGAATTCATTTCAAAGAAGTTTAGAGCTGTAAATTGTTATGTGACATATATCTACATATGATAGTATATTTTGAAATGTTAATAATGAATAGGATTTATTTTTTTGGACTTCTAATTTTTATTTTATTTTAAAATATTTGTACAGGAAATATTATCTTGATGACGGAAATATTTTCATATATGTGAATATATTTGTTTCAAATTTTATGTGTACATTCATTAGAAAATATGCATCTTTAGCTTTAGAGAATAGTCCAAACACGTACATTCAGATTTATTGTCATCTATGATATCTAACATGAAAAATACATATGACATATCAAATTATAATACATAGAGCCGGCTAAGTGATGTTATTGAAACATGAATATATTCATATGGAAAAAGCATGCTTAAATTGATTTCAAGTCATATACCAATAAAAAATCTTATTTTAATTTTGATATTTTCTTTATGATTTATGGAAAAAATGAAAGGAAATATTTGAAGTAGAGACAATGAACATTTTATAAAAAATTTGTGAAGAAGATTGCCTGATAACTCGATTTGATATCGTTATTTTATTATAAATTATTATTATTTTTAATTTTAAAATATATAAAATATTTTTTCTTTACAATGTCTAAATTTAACCATTACGGAATTTTTTTCAATTACGTAATATGATGTGTACATATTTTGAAAGTATATCGTATTTAAATTTCATAACTTTCTATTTTTTACTGAATCCATTAATACGAAATGTTAAATTTATCATCGGATAAATAAATTAAATAAAATATGATACTTACATTTAAGTACATGAATCTTCGATAGTTCTAAATCCACATATTTGAAAAGAATTAAAAGTCACTAACGGATATAGTCTAAAAAGCCAAACTAATTTTAGGAGACTGAAGTACAGTAGTCGTATAATCATCCGTAATCTTGATCCGCAATATTCAAAGCTATAACTTGTGCAGATCTTATCATAATATATATCCTCCGGAGGATGAGCTATCATAAAAATCTACACTTCCTATCATTCATGACGTCCGATTTGGAGGTCTTACGGTCATCATAATGTTATCAATCTTATCTCTATGTATCGTCATAGTCTACACTTGCCATCATGCCTTGTGAATTATGTAAGTTCCGTACTCGTTAATGCTTGAAATAGGAAAAAAGAGCTTCTTACATACTCCGTGAATTTTAACGGTTCTTGAAGTAGTATTAAACATCAAATTTAAAAAATTTGAAAATTCTTACAAATACATATTCTAAGTATCTTAAAATAAGATCACAAGATATCGAACAATGAAATACAGATAATAATGAAAAATTTATTTACCACCGTTATGACTAAGCCATCGGTTCGGATGAACCATGATTACTTGATGATGGGTACTCCATCCTTTGTCTCATCGTTCTCTTCGCTCTTCGTATACTCTCCAGTGCTTGCAGGACCTCCGGAAGCCCGTTGGAGACAGGGGTACTTGATTGGGAATCAAAGTTTTGGCGGCGAGACGAGAGCAGGCAAGAGGCGGGAGCGGGACGCGGGAGAGGGACGGGGGACGTGACGGTGAAGAAGCGAGCGCGGACAATTGGAGCGTCGGGGCGCGGACGACGTGTGCAGCCCCGCGCGCTTTTGGCGTTCTTGTTTCTTGATCCACAAAGGCAGGCGCTGAGCCACTCATGTGCCGCACCGCTGCGTGGATTCGGCCTGCGCTGCGGCCTGGCCCGGCGATCAGGCAGTCTGGCGATCTGGCAATCATAGCCTCCTGAACCACCTCATCCGCTTGCCTCGTGCATGCTGCTGATTCAGTGCCCCGCTCTGCATCACCTAGGCGCACAAAGAGTACGGATCTCTGCAGGCGAGCTCTGGCTGCGGAAATCGAATTCCATTCGAGTTCTTTGTCTCGAGACGCGTCGAAATTATGTTTCGGAATTTTCATCTTTCTTCAGTAAGTGGATGTTTAGTGCAGTGCACTGTAGTGCATTGCGCTGCGCTCGGACGTGAGTCATTCGGGGGCATGTCGCTCACGGCATCAGGCCGATTTGTTTTACGTCCCAGGTCCTTCCAAGGCCTCCTATGGAAGGTCTCCGTCGGGCGTTGCCGGGATGGGACATTTGGCCCCGGCGTGCATTGCATTGGCATCGTCGGCTTTGCTTGGATTGCTTCTTTTCCGTACTGGGTGAATGACTCTTCTCTGCCTGTTTTGGTGGATGGGTATTGATGTGTGCAGCTGAGGCTAGCCAGGCGATGAGTCGAGGCCATCTCGAGAGCTCTCTCACCGCTAACCTTCATGATTGTGTGAGCATTTTTCTCGCGGAAACACAGCTCGCCGTTTTTTGACGGTGCGTGGAACATGAATTCGGGAAGACGAGGTTTGAAGGCAACAGTCACCTTGGAATGATGCTATGCTGAAGTCTTTTGATGGCTTATGCTGTGGATTGGTGCGGAGATTGAGATGTAATAGAGAGTTGTCCAGGTGCTTGTAGAGCTGGAAGGAGAGATTTGTGACGCCCATTCACAATGAGCATCTTTTGGTGGATCCCTGAACATCATTGCGGACCGGAGCAATGACACCGGTGTTCGTATAAAGGTGTCGTGTTTCGTTAAAACTTGGGGGTTTAGTGTGGCGTTTTTACGGGAAATTGACGTGGCCTCTGGAAAACTAAGGGCTGCTCTCAATGGCGTCGACATTGGTGTCCGCTTTACTACACGGGAGAGGTGTGAATTTGGTTACGATTCCATCTTCTGCTTGCTGCCGTGATGTAACTTTATCTTCTTCAGCTTGCGTAACAGATCCCACGATCCTGCTCTGTTCACCAAGCTCGTTTCAACGACGGTCACTGCATTCTACTTTTCTCAGCTTAGAAAGAAGTAGCAAGCGCAATTCGATCCCGAAGGACCCTCTAACGCACCGGAGGGGCAGGGTGTCCCGGGGAATTAAGGCAAAAGCGAACGACAGGAGTGTTTCACAAACATCAGATCTTTGGGCCACTGGCGTTGGCTTCAAATCACAAAACTCTGTAGTGGAAGGAGGTGAAAAAACATGGACACAATCTGTGGGAGAATCGAGTGGGCACGCACTGTTTCCACTCAGTCCTCCGCAACAGGACACGGGGATGTTTCTTATAGTATTGCTGGGTGCTTACTTATGGGTGCGTTTGTTCGACTACTTTACAAGCAAGAAGATTCTCGGACAGGTACGCCTCACTTTTCTCTTGGACTCAGTAAAAGGAGATGTTCATCGATGTTGCGGAAAAGAATTCGACGTGACTTTATTAAGTTCCGTAACAGGACTGGAAGGATCAACGATCATCTTCAGAGCTCGTTGACATTTTTCTATTCTACAAGTAGCTTGTATGGTAACAGAGTTCGTCTGTTGCGAGTCACGATTGGGTTCTCCTCTTCATTTGACTCTTTTATCTCTATCAGAAACTAAGCAGGAAGCTCGTTCACATCACGTCGGGGCTATTGTATATGCTTTGCTGGCCATTTTTCAGGTTCTTTCCGCTTTTCTTCTCCAACTGTCTGATGAAATTTCAGTATCAGTTAGCCAGGAGAAGACTCTAGAGTGCATATGTTCGTGCCGATTTACTGTGCAATGAAACTGACCCAAAGATATGTTGAATGGATTATTTACTCGAAATGTTTCACATAAGCAGTTACTTTTGGCTGAGTCTAGAATTGGACTGTAATTAAATTACATAAGGCTCCTCAGTTATTCCATTCAATGTATGGTTTTACATGCCCTTCTATTGTCAGATGTCGAGACTGACACGGTAGAGTCAGCTGAAGTGTTATACGTACGACTTTCTTTCTAACGAAATGTTTCTTCTGGATTTTATAGCTCTTCCCCATGGGCACCGTACATAGCTGGTCTTGTACCTTTGGCTAATGGAGTCAGACTTGTCGTCTATGGAACCGGTATTTTCAAGGATGAAGGATTAGTCAAATCCATGAGTCGCAGTGGAGATTCCAAGTAAGTAAGTCCTGTTTGTTACACGACTCTACTGTAAGGATCAAACTTGATGTTATGGATGTTAGCTGCTAATAGCTTTGCAATTGGATCAGGGATGTTAAGGCCATCTGGCTTCACTGCATCCTTTAATGTGCTTATTTGCTCGGACTGAATCCAGGGAGCTTCTGAGAGGACCTCTTTATTATGTTCTGGTTTTGTACACGAGCACGGTTGTCTTCTGGAGGCACTCTCCTGTCGGCATGATAGCATTGGCTATGATGTGTGGGGGTGATGGTAGGTTCTCTTCAGGCTCGAGTCCTGGTCTTCTTGCTGTGGGGCATTGTGATTGTCTTGGCTAAGTAAGCTTCCTAAGTGTTTTATTTTATGGTACGTTTGGCAGGCATTGCAGACATCATGGGAAGGAAGTTTGGCTCCAACAAACTCTTCTATAATTCTGACAAGAGCTGGGCCGGAAGTATTGCAATGTTCACTTTTGGATTCCTGGTTGCCTTTGGGTGAGTTTAACTATTCTGTTGGTTTTTTGGTCACTTGCAAGATAGGCTCTACGAAAATGAGCTTTCTATCCAGATTTTTGTCTTGCTCTGATACATACTCGGCCAGGTTTTTCTGTCCAGCTCTGACACAATCAATGGTTCGATGTTTCAGGTGCATGCAATACTTTTCAGCCATGGGGTTTTACCAGCTAGACAATTACAGTGCAACTATGCGGTTGGCAGTCATCTCTCTTGCAGCGACTATCGTGGAGTCTCTTCCTGTCACCTCGAAACTTGATGATAACTTCACTGTACCTGTGACAGCATTTGTATTGGGCGTGCTCTTATTCCCCATGTAGAAACCAAGAGGCCGATTACGGGATGTATCGGCCTAGTAAGCTAATGTCCTCCCTACCTATGTTGGGCAAAAAGTTCTAGTTAGCACAATGAATTGTCCTCCTCATGGGCAACGATAGCACCTAATGATGAACAAATGGAGCAGAAGACCTGTCCTCCACATCACTGTTGCCAGATTTGTCATGGGCAAGGACGTTGAGTATTTATCCTCACTGCCTGGCTGCTATACATTTCAGATTACATCTTGTTTTGACCTGCACGAGTGGCACGTCCAATGAAGCACCACTGAGAGCCCCTTAATGGGTGCCAAGGACACCAACAAGCGGAATGAGGTAGCGGCATTCAGGTGACGAACATCTGGAGTTCTCCATGTTTCGCTGGGTACCACGGTCAAAGTAAAGCTTGTACACGGGCTGCAGATTTAATATCTGAATATTAGTAGGAACTAACTTCTCTGCGCACATTGGAGAGTCACTGGTCGAGGCGCGTACGTTTACACTTCCCAAATTTCTCTTCTTTGGCCGTAAACCCAATTAAAGCTGATTTTACCATCATGTAGGTAGGAAGCGCGAGCTTGGGAAAGTAGCACGCATGTGTTCTTTCTGGATGTATTGAGGAACATGAGGACGGATTTTAATTTCAATGGTTTATGAAAACAAATTTTACCATGGATGTGATACGTGTTCATATCCAATGAAACCTGTGCGCGATGAATCATTCCATCTTCATCAACTTCTCTTTTCGAAGTATCAGCACATTTGAGAACCATTGTATCCAAAGTTGCAGGCGGATGAGACCTGACTGCTACATTTCCCAAAGACAAGATTGGTCTAGACTGGCCTTGCAAGGTGATCTGACAAACATGAAAGAAACCTCTATTTGAAAGATATGTGAGAGACTCAGTAATGGACAATGTCGTATCGTGCAGCCGTACCGTGATAACCTCGATAAACCGAGTTGCCAACTTTGATACCATTGTGTACGTAATCGCTCTCCTTGCTGTGTCTCGAATAGTAATAACATGGGACATGATACATGGTTCCATGTATCCAGTATTAAATCTCCAATGTACGCACATGACATGCACGTAGTGACTCGAAGTGTGTGGCGAACCGAAGAAGAAGATAGCAAATAGAGGGCGTCCACAGCTTGAGTAGTCGCTGTCGAGGAGACCAAGGCGAAATGCGCGAAGCTCGGCTTCGACCAATGATTTTCAAAATGGTGAGATATTCGTGATGTATGAATTGCGGCTCGAAGGAGACCTGGCCTGAATGTGGTTTCCTCAAACGAATATCAATGTGGTGAGACAACATGGTGCAGACGATGTTCGGCGAGATCATCCTTGATTTGTAACCTTCAAAATGCTGGCAATTTAAGTCGCAACCAAACATTTTCATCGACATTACTCAGGGTTCTTAGTTTCCTGTCCGTTACCACTGGATCCAACCTGTTCTCGTAATGCTGTATTCACATTAGTGTTTCCACGTTGGGGTAGGTTACAAAAGGTCCAGAATACGGAGAACTAGCTGATATCAATGCAGATTGTCGTCATTGTTCAAAGAGTGTTGCTGCTTCTTACGTAATATCTGTTGAAACTTAGCGTTACTCAGATGGATAGAAAGCAGAGTCGATGGGAGAGCAATTCGACATTCAATGTCTCTCAATCCAGCCTTGATTCCAGATATTTCAGTCCTTCGTATATCATATCGTTAAAATCTCGCTCCATATTGCTTCTCTTTCGTGAAGCCTATGAAGGCAACCATAACGACGACACGCAATATCATTTTCAGCCAGAGCTTCGCACACAAGTCGTGGCACTGCACCTGAATATAACACTGACTAACTGTTGCCATAGTTTTGGACCAGATCATATCACGGTTTCTACAGTTCTCAGTTTTCTCTTGTCCGCTTGACTCCTGAAGACTTGTCATGGACGTGAGGCGACTGACCGCGACCACAGGAGGAGAATCACATTTCACTAGTGATGTATGCTGGGGAAACTACTGGATCGTCCACGTGTGAGACTTATTGGATAGGATTGAATGAGTAAAAGTGAAAGGTCAAGGGAGACACAGATGCTTTAGTGGGAATATGGAACTCCTACTTTAAGTTGGGGTGTACCTGGCGAGAAACAACTTGTAGCAGAAAGAAGATGATGGGTCCAAAAAGCCTCAGGCTAGCCGAAAAAGGTATGCATCCAGAATCGCCACGCTTGCCCTGATAGCCCGAATAATTCCTTCTCCTTAAATTAATCATTCTTGCGTCACTGACATGCGGCCACTAGCTGCTGGTTTATCTACAAGTTACCCAGCGTTTCAACCAAACTTATCAACAAAAGGAGCTCTGATTTGCAACATCTGTTCCTTTCAGGTCTACAGCAATTGTGCAGTGCTTGCGGTAAGCTGCTTATAGAGCTACTGCATGTCAAGTAGACGGTACATTGACAAATGCCAATATGAGCTCTGGTTTATTTTGCCGACATAACATTCAGAGAGCTTACCCGTTTCAGTTTAACCAGTTCTCTATGAGCCACTGACAGAAGGTTTTCTCCCATCTCAAAACAGGTTTCATCTTGAAGAGCGAGGGTGCCATTATCGGGGCCATACATCAGTTGATCTAGAAATGATACTGAACGTAATTTTCTTTCGTTTTTCGTCTTGGCTTCTGCCGCCGAAAGGCTCCCGTAGTCAAAGGACTTTTCCCTTGTTACCACAGTGTTGGTTGCCTGCAATTCGGGTTCTAATTGCCTTCCTGATGTACACACCTCGTCATCGTCAAGTTCTCTTCTATCATCAAGACGTACTCGTCCATTTTGATATTCCATGTTCTCTATCAGACGTAGTTGGTTGTCTGTGCATGAAGAACCTCCCCATTCCGAGTTACGGTAACGACCATCCTCTATTCTGTCTGATAGGAGAAGCAGGTCATCTCCATTCTCTTTCCTGTCCTGAGTTTTGACTCTCCACCCGTTCATTTTCTCTTGAGTGCTGTGTTCTCCTCCTCTAAGACAATCTTTTGTATCCAAACGGCCTTCATCATATCTAACAATGTAATTATGTGGGCCATCTTGTGTATTCTGTAGTTCTGAGCGATTTGTTACTTCGTTCGTTGGAGCCATTCCACTGCAAATATTTTCTTCCTTCGACATTCTCTTCGTTGAATCTGGGACCAAGTATGTTTCATCATCAAAGCAATCCACTGAAAAGAACTTTCTGAGTTTGGCGCAGGAGATTTCAGCTGGTTCGAAGGTTGTAGGTACCAGATCTTCACCACTCTTCAAGTTGGTTTGTTTGAGCACAGTATTGTACCTGCCCCGCCACTCTGCTACTTCTCCTTTTAAGCTTCGATTACCTTGACGAAGTTTTGCCTGTGAGTAATGAAATATAAGCTGATCAGACGCAAAGGAAGCCGCTATAAAAGTTTCATCCACTAAGAGAAATATCCATTTGATTTGATACTTGAAAAGATAAAGGAATCTATTTCAGTCTTACCAGTTCCATTAAAAGATGAGTTTTCTCCCCTTCTAAAAGAGTTCGAACCTGCAACATACATCACGAGTCAAAAGTTCCAGGTATATATCCAGATTTGAAGTGATGATGAAATCCCTATCAGATGAGCTGTGTCATTGGAATTTGGTCTCAGCAACCGTAGAATGTCGTCATCTATCTTGTAGCAAATATTATTTCCTTATGGTGAGGCGCTCAGCATGGTTGGTATTGAAACTATGTTCAAGAGGCTGAAACTTGCTCTTACTTTGCAAAGCTCAAGATCATAATGAGCAATTGTCGTTTGCACCTCCCGACTTTCGAGTTCGGCAACCTGAAAGGGACGTATTTATCCTGTCTTAGAACCAAAAGATAACCCAGCTTCAGCCACAAAAGATTCTGCATCTGTATGGATCTTATCATGCAAGGCCTTGGCTTTGCACCCAGAAGTGGAGTTTTTAAATTAATGACCTTATGCTGCAATAGCTCATTCTGGATAGCTGTGTCTTTCTTTTGGATTCGAGCCTCCTGCAAATGGTGTTCAGATGCACGTGCAGATGCTCTAGAGAATTCCAGTGAATCTAGCAGATCTTGAAACCGCGTCGCTTTTTCCTCAGCTTCGTTCTGATTAACATGACGCACATGATTAAATGTATGATCGCCTAGATTTCTGTTACTTTTATCAGCATAAAATAGTACAGCAGAGGAAGAATGAACAAAGTCCAATCATTTTAGGTACTTTTGCTCCCTCAAAACAAAGATTGACTAATCTCTTAAGGTATATTGATTGGTCACGAGGTCATACATTCATGACCTCGATTCGTTTTCTGTAAGCTGCAACCTCGAGCTGTGAAGAATTCAAAGCTCCCTCTAATTCTTTCACCAGATACATCTACAGCGTCAGTGAGGATGTCAGATAAGTATAAAGTCAACTTCCCAACTCAGATTACTTTCTACAACAGGTGACAGGTAAAGGTCTCACCAGTCTCTCCTCTTCTCTTTCCTTCTCTTTGAGCAGAGAATCCTTTCTCTGTTTATGATCAAAGGAACTCGTTAGTCATGTAAAACTCATTCAGAAGATGAAATTAGTTATGTTCAGCTAAAGTCTTCTGTTCTCACGTTCTAAATGTGAATCTGAAGTGGTAACCACGATATGTGAATGCCGAGTGTTTGTTACCTGCAAAAGGTCGTGGCAGTGATTCAGATCCACACTAAGCTTTTTTATCTCTTCTTCTTGGGACGCTGTTAAGGCTGAGGCTTCCCTTTTGACCTGAGCGGTTGGTCAGCTGTTCATCTTCAGAAGATTCAAAATCTATTTTGTACAGACTTCCGTGTTGGAGCAATCCAATGGAATGGCCCTTCAAGGACCGTCTTGTCGAGACTATGAATAGGAAAAATAATTGGTGCTTGCAAACATGTACTCGAGTTGTATTAAATTTTTTAATCTGAAGTAATCAAACTCTCAGATCTTTTTGTCAACTTCAAAATGTAGAGATCACACTTAATGCAAAGAGGATAAAAGTGTGAAAGTTAAGGAAAATAATGCATGAGATTTTATTCGTAAACTTGACAAACAAATCTCAGTCCCTCACTGTACATTAAATAGAAGATGAACCAATAGTGGGAGACATTCATTGACATGGGAGAGTGCAAGCAAGCTATACAGCCACTGCTAAGTAATTATTGAATTCAGTTTAGTGGTTTTTAAGTTAGTTATACATCACAAGACTCATTTTCATGATTTCAACTGAAATTTGTGCTGACTTTAAGTTTATTAGTAAACGCATGCTTCTGTGTACTTATAAAAGTTCCCCACATTCGAAATTCGGAGGGTCTTTAATTGATTTGAACCAATGGAACCTAATCTAGATGTCACGAAAACGACAATGAAAATTAACACATGACATTGTCATCAATCGTGTTTACATCACATTTCGGATTTTGAGCGCGTCATTGTAACAGGTCAGTAGAAAATAGCCAAATTGTACTGTATATTTCGTTCTAGATCTGCAAATTAATGTCGTAAATATCTTGGAAACTTGGCAGGGTTAGAATAATATCGTTAAACATAAAGATTTAGTTTCAGTTCATTTTGTTGAGTATATGAGCTAGTTGTATCGACTTAGCGTTTAGGAAAGTAATAATTATTGCATGTAAGGATAACCAGAGAGACATGAAGTAAATTTGGATCACAAGGAAATTTGAAACCTGGTCAAGTTGCATCGTGGCTTGACGGGCTGTCGATATCGCTTGAGCTGCTGCAATAGCGTGTTGTCGAGCATCTCTAGCTGTTACCAGAAGCATCTGACCACGAAGCTGATCCAGATCCTTGTTCTCATGACTCGCAGTTGCTGTAGCAGAACGATTTTTCTCATTTAGACGGTACCAGGAGAGCTCTTGGTTACATGGTGAATTTGAATTTTCCCCAATTGCTGGCAGAGGTACTCAAGAGCTTTGAATGGTTACAGTAAATAAGGGATGAAGGATTTGGAGGATTAGTGTGTACAGAGAGTAAGAAGATGTTCGAGATCGTGAACGCGAGCAACCAGTCCAGCAGCTGCAACTTCAACTTCCGATAAATATCTCCGCAGAGCAGAACTCTCGTTGCAGCCCTCTTCCCTCGCACTGCCCCAAACGAAGCGCTTGTTAGGATCACATAGCCACTGACAGAAGCAAGGCTTCCTTCAAGTGACGTAATCTCAAATTTGTGTGTGGTTTTCATCACTTTAGCGTCGACATCTTGTTGGACCCCCAGCAGTTGATTTATAAGCTTTCAGACGGACCGTACAATAGCAATCCGTGCCGGATATTGTTAAATTGAAGATCTGTGCTGCATCAAAGCTTCGAGTAAGTTACCGCTCAGATGCTCTCAAGGCGACCTCCAAATGTGCAACCATCTCTGGCAGTGATACCTGTGCCAAATGAGTATCTTGAAGCAATTGTGTAGAAGACAGTCATATGATCTCCTGGTAGAAATTTCCAGAAAAACAGGACATGCAATGGAAATCCAGGGATTGGTTCACACCAATAGCTCATATAATCGACAACAGATGTGGAGAATTTGACATGAGAGACGCGCAGGTGGAAGGTATATTGCATGCAAGGACTGGCCATGAACATCAGCCGGAGATCCCCGACCCTCCCTCTCTAGCTGCAGACTTGGGGCGATCGCTGGAAGTGCAAACCTCATTTTGGGGAGCTGATAGAGACTCAGTTGACAAAGGGGTTTGCCACATCTGAGACTCGTCTGACGGGCGACCATTGCGGGAAGATTGTAGCGTCTCCTGCTTCAAAGTTGCCGGTTGTCCAACCTCTGCAACGGCATCACGATACCGCTCGTCAAGGAGATTGGTTGAAGCTTTACAAAATTGTTCTAGTTGGAAGTCCTTCGAAACACATCTTACGATTGGAGATCGACTCGAGCACACATCAACTTCGTCTAAATGATCTGCTCGCAATTTTGTGCTTCAATCGTCATGCTCCACAGTGGAGGGCTTTCAGACAGGAACACACTTGGTCAATTGTATATGAAGCAGGTGACCCACGGTGACCAAGAACAGCGTGTATCACACCAAGATTTCGGAAGCAACAGGATATCAACAGGGTTTGCATCTAAATTTATTAAATTTATCAACTGATCTCCACCTCTTGTAAAATTGAGAGGGAGAAGGGGTGAGACTGCTACGTGTGTAACCCCAGGGGCTTGCCGAGGCCATGTCAGGTCTGCTCGGAAACTCTTGCATATCAGAGTTGAAAGTTTCTGTGTCTCCTGATGCAACTTGTGCTGAAGTATTTGGCATTTTCTGGCTGCTCGTGAAGCGGAAGAGTGGCCCAGCGCGTATACCAACTTCAAAGCCTCTCGTGCAGAATAGTAGCCCTCAAATGAGTTGACATTCGCTCGACCACGAGGAAAACTAGTTCCTGAGTTCAATGTCCCCGGTCTGTAGTTGGTCCATACGCTCGGAGCTCTTACAAAAGCTTCGGGGAAGGAAATTTCTGGGCGCTCTTTCGAAATCGCTGGTCTGGAAGCACTGTCTCAAAGAATTGCAAGAAGCCACCACAAAGAGACCGCCGAAATAATTTTCGGGCTTCGTGCTGCTTCTTCTGAGTTGATACAAGAAGGACCAGATCAGGACATTGATCGTACCGGAAGGCAGTGCATCTTACTCAAGCTTCACATACAGTGAATGTAGAAATGAACGAACGAATATTAAAGACTGGATTATCCTGGCGATCATGGATATTCAGTAGCACCACTACCTCTCACGCCATGCACATGCACATGCAGCGTGGCGATGCAGATGCTGATAATCAGGACGACAGGGACAGGGCAAGTCGGGAAGGGTGGTGGCCCACCACCGACGGACTCGACTCCCGAGTCACGAACGAAGAAGAAAGAGGAATCTCCCGAGTCGCCCGAGCTCTGTCTGACTCAAAATTTTCCTCCTCGAAGATTCAGTTGCTCGGGGAACGAGACATTGTGTCAATAGATGTGAAGAAGAAGAAGATGATGATGACCACCACGACGACGATGACTGATGGTGCAGTGCATGCGGAGCCTCTGCTCGTTGCGCGCGGTCGTTCAGCACACCCTAAAGAGCAAGACTAGGGACCGGAGGGAGGGGTGCGACTCGTTAGGATTCATACGTGCGTGCATGCGTCCCAGGACACCACTTGACCTGGTTAACGACCAGTCGTCCCCCTCCCATCCTCGCGTTCCTGGCGGATGGAAAACTCGAGTGGTAAAAAGAGGCATTTTGTCCACGAGCTCTGTCTGTGGAAAAGCCTGGTCGGATCGACAGCGAGCAAAGCTCGCAGGTTCTGTCGATGCTCCCAGCCATTTCAGGACGCTTCAAACTTCCCTTTACTGTACTGTTCGAAGGAACTCACTCTAACTCTTTTTACGTTCACACGAGTGGTACACACGATTCACTAACACAGTACTGGAATATCCCGTCAAAAACCCCTTACAAACAAAACCAGTAAATACTTTCATATTGAATGAGAGCTGTTGGACAGTCACAAGTAATTCCAACATAGGAACTGAGCTGACCAATCAAGGAAGTGCGCAAGGAGGTTACACCACTAGGTGCGTGTCAGGGCGAAAACACGAAAATAGAATGCCAATTTCTTATACATGTTTACTTTTTAACCCTCAATGTCAATTATCTAGAAATAAAATAGATATCATATAGCTTATATCTAATTGATTGGTTTTGTATAAGTTACACTAATTACTGACGTTTGTAACTTGGCTTAATGCGTACATTAATCTTTATTTATAAGATCTAATTGATTGGTTTTGTATAAGTTACACTAATTACTGATGTTTGTAACTTGGTTTAATGCGTACATTAATCTTTATTCGCAAGATCTAGTATAATCAATCTTTGTACATTCCCTTAGAAACATGTCAACATTTATATCAAATAACTACAGTTTTCTAACTTTAAAAAGTAGACATTCTTGTATACAACCCTCTGTATTATTTTTTGTTGCACTCTCCGATCATAAAAAAATGATAAGTTTACTCAGATTATATTATACAGAATATTATAATTACCAATTAAGAAACATAATTTAATTATTTTGAACCAAAAATATATATGTGATTACAAGTTACACCAATATTACTCTCATTGGAGATAGATTATCATGTTAGAATAGCTTTGACATGATAAAAGTTTCTACTTGAAAATTTTGAAATTCATTCAAGTTAGATTATCAATTGTTGGATCCAAAATATCATCATATTCATAGTTCAAATGCAAATCTATGTATCAAGTCAAAATATAACATCAAAGTTACAAATAAAAGAGTGGATGTGAAATCTTATTGAAAACAACTGTAAATCGTTTCATACTCATTATATTGTTATTTTTTATTTCTAATTTTTTTACATTAGATTTAAATAATTTGATGAATTTAAATAACATGTTAAAATAATTTAACTCTCCAAACTTGCTTGAGAGTCTATTTTCCACATCTCTATACATATAACTTGAAAAGTTATCATAGTATTAAATGTGGGATATGCTAGTTATCCATCACCTGGGGCTAATTAGCCCTCATCCTTGAAAATCCCAAACATCCAAATCGATTAGCACGCAGGACAGTCTCAACACCGAGATAACGTGGTTCACCTTCCACAAGCTACGTCCAAGGGCACGAGTAGAAACTTCACTAAAGTTTTGATGTATACACGGCCTCCATAGCCAAGCGCTAGTCCTTACTGTTCACTCTCTCAATGTTATCTTGAACTGTATGCAGAGTAAGTCTCATTCTCTCTTCTATACAAGAAGAGACAAGGTAATCAAACCTAACCTAACCTAACCTAACCACAGTTAACTTCCTAACCATGATAACCACTAAGTGGAGTTTATCCAAGATAGAGTTAACCTAACAAACTCCCCCTTGATTCAAGTCTTGGAGAGGTAATCAATGTAATCCACATGTATCTCTGCGGGAAATTCTAGAAAGTAAAGCTAAATCACGCTTTCCCTCTATAGCCGAGAGTTAACTAAAACTAAGCCGTAGTCTTCAAAAAACCGGATGGAGAATACTTGTACAAAAGTTACTAGACTAACTATCCCTATGCAAAATTTTCAACTTTGCACAATGCTTGGAAAAATTTCCAATGGAATTACTTTGGTCAATGCGTCGGCGGGGTTGAGCTTACTATCAATTTTGATGAGCTTAAGTGCACTTGTTTGATATAATGATATCGAATATCAATGTACTTTATTGTAATGACAGATAAATACCAAAATGGAGCATAATGGTATAGATCCGATCCCACGAGGACAGAAACAAACATAAAAGTCACGATTTGTCACAAGATAGCATTCTATTACGAAGTTTTACTTCTTAGGCCAATGCTACTCCCAGAAGACACTACTCAGCTAGAGCCGAAGACTCACAGGGTACTGCAAAACCGTATCACAACCTGAACCTTTTCCAATCAAAACCTGTGAGAATCGCAAGCGATCCCACACTTATATTTCAGGGGAAAACTTCCCAGCACTGCAAACATCTCAACACACTGAACCGAATACTCAGACCTGAACTTGCTTAAATCCCGCAGTAACCCCAGGCTACCCAAGACATCCAAGCTGAATACTCACACTCCCGGTGCGGTAACTTCAACAACCAGGAGCGCCCTGTGCTCAATGTCTGGATCACACACCAGCACATAGACACACAGCGAAGACAGAATGACAGTTGAGACAAGCCAATAGACAGAAAAACCCCCTCAATGAAAGAGCCTTGGGCCTCTTTTTTCACAATGGCAAATCTGGGATATCAACCGCTTGAGGCGAATCAGCCTCAAGGACTGTGCCGTCCGATGTAACAGTTATAGCATCGTCTGAACTACTCTCTACTCCTAATCTACGCAACACGTTTACAATCTCTACTTCTACATTCTGGCGCTCCTCATTCAATTCCTCTGAAAATGAATTAACTAACTCTACAATCTGTTTCTGCCCTGCGGATCCGCTAGACTTCGCGCTCATCAGCCGTCGCTTGAGTAGATCTAGCTTCAACCACTTCACCAAATCCAATCCCCACATCGCGAACCCGTTCATGCACTTCTCTAACCGCAATCTCAACATGTCGGTTGAATTCTCCCGCAGCTGACGGTACGCACCCTCTGCCTTTTGCATTCTCCTTTGCGACTCTTCTGATCTCATCTCCACCTTCTCTAACTGCTGCCGTAACCGTCGACAGTTAGATTCAACCTTTAATCTACATTCGATCTCCGAAGACTTGGCCGACTCGCAATCTGCCGATTTCTTGGCCCAATCCTTCAATTCCTCCTCATGCTTCTGGTTTCCTAGACTTGCTGATAGCTCCTCCGCACGTCGGAATTCCATCTCATACTTCGCTTCAATCTTTGAGATTTTACTACGAAGATCTTCCTCCGCTGTCTTCGTATCTGCGAGCTTGCCCCAAAATTCTTCGGTGATACGAGCTTCTTCGGCTCTTCGGGCTTTCAACTTAGCAAGTTCCTCGATAAGCATCTTCTCTTGCTTCTCCGCAGTAATGATCAGCCGCTCCAATCTTTTGCTTACCGCCTCGTAAGCTTCTCTGGATTTCTCCAGTCTCGCTACCAAATCCACTGTTACTTTCTGGACATTCTCATTGGAGATACGAAGTCCTCTACAGGCCTCCTCCAACTCTGCACAGCGCCCGGATTCCTTCTCTAGATTCTGCTGTAGTACTTTGCACTCAGTTTCCTTCTCCCGAAGCTGGGCTTCTCGCTCTCGCACCAATGTAGTTGCGGACTCCCACTCCCTCCTTACTGCAACTGCTCTCTTAAGCTTTGTCCTATTCCTAATCATAGGTACATAGAATCCTAGCTCCTCCGTTACAACATACTTCACTCTCTTCTCGTCCAAGTACTTCAACAATGGAACTATACTATCCTGCAAGAATTCAGGAAATGTAATTTCTAATGTCTTCACATCTTTGCCCGAAGTCTTCTTTCCTTCTTCGGGTCTCACCTCTTCCACCGGAGATGTCGGCAGTGTAATGCCCTCGGCTTCTACCACCGTCCCTCCTACCCTTGCGACAACCCGTTCCAGAATCTCCTCGCTCAAAGTAAACTCCTTCTCCAGGTCCTCGTTCATCTTCATCTGTGGTGTTTCTTCGCCTTGCGCAGACCGTGTCTGCTCCGAAGACAGAAAAATTGGACTTACCAATTCCGTTCCCTCCTTCAAAAGTTCTGCCGGTATATCTGCCGGGACTTTGATTGACACCTCCGAAGGTACCCCTATCTCCACAGGTCGCATTACCTCGCTAGCTGCGACTTTGGATGTGTTTACAATTGGTGCCACCGTCTTCTTCACACTGCTGTCCGACACCTCAACTGTCACCATCCTCTGTTTCGCCCTCTTCTTTGGTCTTGCGCGAGCTCTGTGCTGTCTGGCTCCACTTACATCCATATTCATCCTTCTTACCACGTGGGCCAATTCCTCCTCGTCATCACTCACGACCTTCCTTCTCTTTGTCACTCGTCTCTCTTGCTGCTCTGCCTTTGAACCAAGTCCACCTGCAGTGGTTCTCGAGCGGTGGTGTGTGTTGGAATTGAGGGGAGTAGGATCTCGTCTTCAGTCCCTTCACTGGACTCAGCCGTCAGGAACTCCCACTCTCTCGGAAATCGTTTCTCCTCCTCCCTCGTAAGCAATCCCATCTCTCGATAGAAATTCACCAGAAAAGGAGTAAGATGATTGGTCATAGATCCCGTTCATCGACAAGACACATTCACCCAGACAAGATCATAAAAGATCCTTGTCCAACGTACGCGCTTTTCTTTCAAAATGCGTTCGAAGAATCCTACTTGCCAGGCCGTCACATAAGTCGTGCGCGCCGGCCGTAAGATGTGCATGATCCTCGACGCAATCGCCCTTCTCTTCAGATCTTTGTAATCGACAATCTTCCATCCATTTGTTCCCTGTCTTCCAGTCTCGAAGAGAGGCCCGTAAGAGAATTCCTCGCCGCGCGTAAGTCCTACGCTATTCTTCTCAAATAGCAGGTCTCCTTCGCTGCCCGCACAGGGTCCCAGTACCATCGTCCAATGTTCGATAGTCCACAGCATGGGATTACCTAGGAGCTCCTCGCCTTCGACCGTGCTCTTGTCCATAACTTCCTTGCAGATACCCGCTGAGACGCAATTCCAATTTCACAAAAGGAATTCAAGCCGCAGTTCCCTCAACTCGTGTCTGAAAATTCTCAATTCCTCGTAAGGCACCTTAAGGGGAATCAATTTCCTCACCTTCT